CACCGTACGTGCCCTCCACACGCGGCGGGCTCCCCCGTGGGACCCCGGAAGGGACACGTGAGTGCGTGTCTGTGATGTCTGTGGCACACTGCAGGAGCAGGTCTGGAGAGAGGCAGAGGTGAGGGTGAATGAGGGACAGAAAGGACGTCACCGGGCCCAAGAGGCGCGACCAGGAGCGCGGCCCTGGCTGGCATCAAAGCCTGACCCGTGCAGCTCAGGACTGGCTCAGCTCTGCGACGCCCGCGTGTCCCTGCCACTCTTGCCCCCTGACTTTGGGATCTCAGAGACAGACAAACTTAAAAAGAAATTCTAGGGCCTGACAAGGGGCAGTCAACATCTTGTTACACAACAAAGAGCCGTGCCTGCCACCTTCAGTGCACAACTCCTCAGCTTCGAGATCAGGAAGGACAACCCCAGAACGAAAGAATAAACCTGACTCCATTCCGTGACCTAGCAAGCTGCCCTCACCTTTCCTCATCTGCACGAGCACACGGTGCCTACAGCTGCACCACGGGCCACGTGACCCTGGCCACCCCCACGGAGCACAGGACCGAGCCAGCCCCTGCCCCAGGCTATCCCAGCATGGTCATGGTCCCTGCCACCACAGGGAGGAACGCGTGTCAGTGTGGGCAGACAGCACGCCTGTGCAAAGTGCATGTGTGTGTGCACCCCTGGAACCCTCACACACCTGTCCACACCTGTGTGTGCATCCCCCCAGGAACCCCCACACCTGCGTGTGTGCATCCCCCCGTGACCCCACACCTGTGTGTGTGCATCCCCCATGACCCCCTCACACCTGTGTGTGCATCCCCCTGTGACCCCCACACCTGTGTGTGCATCCCCCTGTGACCCCCTCACACCTGTGTGTGTGCATCCCCCTGTACCGCCCCTCCCGGTCTGAGGTACCCTCCGTGACCCCCCCCCACTGGTGTGTTCCCCCTCCCAATCCCAACCCGAATTAGGGGTCGTCCGCCCCCTAGCCCCGACACAGATAGGTCCTCCCCCCAACTAGACCCTTTTATCTTGGATATCCTTCTCACTTTCAGAACAAATATACTGTACCGGCACACACTGATAAGGAGACACTATGAGGAGCATGATGTAAAGAGCTAGGGTTACCTTTAAAGCGGAAGATAGAGCAACAATCACTGTTTTTGGACCCTAGATCCAGGGGACCAATCTATATAAAATATTTGGTGAGCCGCCCTTACAGCGAGAGCTAAGACTACGCTCCACTTTTTATTTGGCGTAGTTCATTACTCGGCTCTAGGTAGTGCACTCATCGTAGCCCAGAGAATCAGCCCA